TTCGCTTGTAATCTTTTTGACCAATTTGAAAACCGATCATCCATCCAAACCGATCGAATGCTCACTCCTACTTGCATTTACATACATGATACATGCAACTCAATTCCTTTTGTCTACTTTTACGTGCAGGTGAATGGTGAAGGAGTGACGAGGAACTTCTACAGTGGGGACTCGCTTCCACTATGGCACGAAGAGTTAGAACCTCATAACTCTTTGCTTGATATACTCTCATCTGCTGCCGCCGGCCCTGAGCCAATGATCATATAATAAATACTCATTGCCTTTCCGTGCCAAATTTAATTATTTTCAAACATCCGTTTTTATTGTTTTAGTCTGCTTTAATTTAAACAGCCATTTAGCAACCAATCGGTAACTATAAACAGCTTAATTGTCTCCCATGAATAGCATGAGGTTTTTAATGGTTTATTCTGTTAAATTTCTAAGAGGTATTTACATGCATGTCTCCCTCCATTCTTAAATTTTATTTCTTACATTTTTTTACGCTCAAATCTTTCACTTCACACAAAAAAATGCCACTATTTTAATTTTTAAGAAATGAAACATTTTTTTTTTCCTGCGCAAGTGATGTGGCATATTTGTAAATTTTGAAGTTTAGGTGTTAGATGTATAGATACATAAGAATTCTATGGTCGCATTTGGATTATAATTCGCATGTTAAATTAGTGAGTTGACATCAAATCTTATTCTAAACAAGTTGTATTAATTTTTTTTTTACCCCAAAAAAAAAAAGTTATCTCAAATATAGAACATTAATTAGCTTAACTCAGTTAATTAAAATGCATGCCATAAACTTGAATAAAAGGAATATACCCCCATATAATGTAATATTGCGAATGATGAACTATTGATGCCATTAAATGTATCATTCATCATTATTATAAATTTAGAAAATTGATAAGCTTCCGACGTAAATACAATTTAGTCGCTAAAATATTTCAGTTAAATTAGCTGGCACAGAGCACGCATATCACCCCATTCTCATAACACCTCACTTTTGTTAATACATAGGAATTGGGAGGCTAGTCTTTAAATACCCCTCCAAAAAAAAAAATCTAAACATTGTAAAGCCAAAATTAAATTTTCAATTAAGCATAAAAAATTGATATTAAAAAAAATATCAAAATGATAAAAGGCCAAAATTAAATTTTCGATAAAACCATAAAAAATACATGCCATGCTAAATCCCTAACAATTTGTGAGCGGTTTCTGCAAAGCATTCTGCACGGCATCAAAATTTGATCCAGAAAGTTTCAGCTGAAATGAGACGAACACAGATCGATCAGTAATTCAAGTGTGGGTACATTGATTAAAACCCTAATTATGATCAAATTACATGCATAGAATCTAGAAGAGACATATTATTCAAATTAAAAAAAAAAAGAATTTAGAAGAGGAGAATTCCAGGTTGTACCGAACTTTAAGAAAATCAAATATAATCACAAACGGCCTCCATTCCTAAAAAAAGAAATATTTTTGCATTTTGAGGCATAAAATAAAGAAAAACAATCATATCATGTAAAATAGAAAAAATTGGCTCCCAAAAGTGCAATATTTCTTCACTGGTCAGCATGCCTTTGCTTGTGTCTGCGAAGATGGTTATGTGAACGGCTGCTCCTAACACGTTTTGCAGCCTTTTTACTGCTCGTTTAGACGATTAAAACCCAATTAGAATTATCGTATAAAAAAAAGAACAGAATGCTTCTGGTGGAGCTTGGTCAACCAACTAACCCAAAGAGTTGTGATAGCATCTTGTAAATCAGACATACAGGTAAGGCGAATGAAGCAGAGACCTGCAATAAGATTTAAAAAAAAAAAATCAAAAGATATTATGTATATTCATATGGTTTTACTTATCACCTTACATATGCATGAGAATCTGTATTTCACTTTTTAAAAATTAAAATGGAGGTATTTTTAATGTGAAATGAAAGTCTGAAAGATTTGGATAGTATTAATGTGAAAAAAGCAAGGTTGAGGTGCTAGATATGTTTATACATATATATACATATATAATATATAGTATTAAAACATACCGCAAACCAAACAAACCCTTTAGTTGCAAGAGGTTTGGTTAAATCGTGCTTCTCAAGATTCTCCAGAACAATATATTGAGCCTACAAAATTAAGAAAATCAGGTAAAATGATAGAAAATGCTCTTTGTTGCCATGAAAATCAAAGAAAGAGCAAATAGATACTTCTCTAAATAAAGTTTAGATTTTGCATTATGCATTGAAAAGTTTAATGTAGGAGAAATGGGCGACATTCATATTGCACTCACCAATGAAAGTTAATACAACTTAGCCTCACCTAATTATAGGAGGTAGGAGGGGTTTTCTGTAAAATGACAGGTAAATATAATGTAAATTTAAGAACTCATAAACATACTAGAGCACCATGATGTCATCGATGGACAATGATGGTCCTGCTCCAATACTAAATTGATTCACCACAAGGGTGAAATCCAGAGGCCATTTTAATGAACAATGCATGATATGAAAGAATTCAGTTCTGCCATGTAGCCATCTTAAATGCTATATTTTTTATATAAAAACATGACTCAGGAAATATACCTGCTGATGATACTTTCCAGAAGTTTCTAGAAGCTTCCTGTATCCATAAACTACCCCTCCTGTGTAGGGTTTGAATCCAGTAGATGCTTTATCCACACAAGTAGCAGCTAGCTCAACATAGGGCATTACAAACATCCTTGCTCCCTGAAACCAGATGTAGTATGTAAATGATCATATAACTTTACTGTAGCCTATTAAAAACTACTGGGGGCATTTACATACATACCACACAATTCAAACATATATTTTTACATATCTCACACCTAATTTTCATATGTACACACACAACACTCAAACCCTTAATATCAAATAAAAATAGCACTATTACCACTTTTTAAAAGTGAAATACACATTTTCATACATAGCTTTAAAACAACAGAATGTTATGTAAATAAAAAGTTTAGGTGTGAAATGTAAATACATAAGAATTGTGTAGTAAGTAAGTAAATTTCCTAAATTAATAATGTTTCACATAATAAAATAAAGGCCACTACAGCTAGTTTTATGATAGAAATTTGGAATTACTATTAATAATGTTTCACATAATAAAATAAAGGCCGCTACAGCTAGTTTTATGATAGAAATTTGGAATTACTTCAACTAAAGGGTTAGCAGACTCCTGGAGAGCAAGAATATGGGGTTTGGCGGTATTTCTGCAAAACTCAAATATTTCAACTGTTTTTGTAAATGTCTTTTCCATGCGAGGTTTAATAGTTTTTCTAAAAGCAATCCATCTGGACTTTGCAGCAGCGATCCATTTCTGTGAAAAGAAAAAACAGCATAAACTTAATATGCAAACTTTTTTTTTTATGCTCTAAAAAAGGTAAGAATGACTGAGTACACTGAATACATAAAAGGGAGATTTACATAAATACCACAATTCTTATATATTTGCCCATCTAACACCTAAAGTTTGATATTTACACTTATTAAACCTTATTGTCGTGAACCTATGCATGAAAAAATATATTTCACCTTGAAAAAGATAATGACGGTTGTATTTTTTATGTGATGTTAAAGATTTGAGTGATATGCATGTAAATATAAATGTTTTGATGTAATATAAGTAAATACATAAGAATTGTGTGGTATGCATGCAAATGCCCTTTGTATAAAAAGGATCATTACAGCATGGCATCAGCATCCCATAAAATACAAAAACAATGTGAATGCTAATGTTAATGAAAAACTAACAAGGGTAAAAATAGATGAACCCAAAGAAACAATTCTATACAAATATGTAATTTCATTCAGCTTATATTCATCAACATACAACTTTTGCTGTCTCCAGATGCGGTTCAACCCATTTCTGCGCTTGGCCCAATTTCTCTGAAACCTGAGACAATGAAACCCTGAACTTCAACATTTTATAGTCATATCCCTGTTCCATATTATAGGTCTTCGCAAAAGCGACAAATTTGTATTGCTTGATTGCGCACCTTTAGCACTGAAACAACCAAAGCAGGTTTTATGTCCTCTTTCCAGTTGGCTGCTACGATTTCCTGCTAGTCATAAAGCATACTTAGAAAAGAGCTGACACAAGATTTAAAATACCAAGATTTAAGAAAATGCCACTCAATTTCTTTGCGTTTACACATCTAACATCTAAAGTTCAATTTTTATATACGTCGCCTTACATATGCATGAAAAGGTGTATTTCACATTTTAAAAGTTAAAAAAATGGTATTTTTTATGTGATTATGTGATATGAATATGAAAGGTTTGGGTGGTATAAATGTAAATGTAAAGTTTATGTGTTAGATGTGAATAGTAGGACTTGAGTGGTATGTATGTAAATATCCCTTAAAGTTACCAACATATACAACAGCTTACCTGAGTTTGCGCTATACGATATGCAAGCCAAGGTGGAAGCCATGCTCTATGAACCTAACAAAAAGGATTAAAATTAATGTTCATGCTAGCAAAGTTGTTCAAAAGAGAAAGGAAAAAAATAATAGGCTATAGACTCAAAAGCTGGAAAATTGCATATAAAACAAAAGTTATAGTTGTTGTCATACCATCATGTGAGTTTTAGAAATTAAACCAATTAATTTAGAGCCTGTTTTTAAAAAACATGTTTGTTTTGTATATTTTTTTACATGTTTTTATTTTCTATTTCTTTAAAAAAAAATTAACACTCTTTTTATTTTTTGTGTGTTTTGAGTAGTTTTAAAATTTTCATGGTAACCAAATTTGTTTTATTTTAAATCAAAACATAAATAAAATAAAATAAGAATGAAAAATAAAAAACAAAAAAAAATAAAAGGCCCCTTAGCATTTCAATAAACATTATTAAAAATAAGATAAAATTAATGAGTGACTAATTGTTGAAACTAATACGAGCAAAAACCAACAGAAACACCTCGATGAATCATAAATCAATTGGAAAGCATCGAAAAACCACTCAAACATCCAATTTGGAAGATCCCCATAAAAACACTCAAAACTTCATCTAAACTACGAAGATTACAGCGCATCAGAAAAACACAATTTCTATAAATCCTTTGATAAGAATGAAACTCAAGAAAAGTAAATAGAACATAACTCCTCAAATAATCGAAAAATGGAATAAATATGGCTCGTAATCTCACTTTTTTTAGTTCCTGTAAGTTTGTTGTCGCTTCCAACCGTACCCTCGCTAACTCCTAACAGGTTTATAAATTGAAACTAGGCATCACATAAGAACAGATAAAACTCAAATAATATTATTTTTTTTTGGGAAATTTACATACCTGGCACACAATTCTCATGTATTTACACATATCTCACACCTAAACTCATATTTACTCATAAAGCATTTTGGTGTGCGTCACTTTTAAAAAAATAATAGTGCTCTTTTTTATTTGATATTAAAGATTTGAGTGACATGTGTCTAAATATGAAAGATTAGGTGTGAGATATGTAAATACATAAGAATTGTGTGCCATGTATGTAAATGCCCCTTATTTTAGTTAAGAAGTTTAAGCAAACCTCTGCCATTTGAAGAGCACTTCCGGTTTTTTGAATTTTCTGCTTCTGCTCAACATCCTTTTTCTCAAGCTAATATAAAGGTTGGCAAAGTGTTAAATCATTAGTATAACTAAAAAAAGTGATTCTTCCATTGTAAGCAACACTAAATCCTACAGAATATCAAAATAATCTTAAATAAGAAAGCCAGCTCAATTGGTACAGTTGTGTTTTTGTTTAAATGCGATAAAATTAGAGAAAAGTGTCAAAATAGTCTCCTTACACTTTGCAAGGGTCATTTTAGTCTCAGAGTTTATAGAGATGTTAATTTAATCCCCAGACAATTTTAATATGGGTTCAAATAGTACCAAGCACGAACTATTTTAGCCCCTAGTAAAACAATTCAGGCATTAATTTAGCATTTTATAAACTCTCGGACTAAGATGATCAAATGTAAATAGCTAGGGACTATTTGGCACTTTACTCAATAAAATTATCATGCTCTTATATAGAAATATAAACCACTTTATAAGCCAATCCATACGTTCATGTAAATAGAGAACATAGAGAAGTGTACTTGCAAATAGGGGTGTAAACCAGCCTAACACGAACAAGCCCAGGCTCAGTTCGTGTTTGGCTCGTTTATATTTCGAGCTCAAAAAGTGTGTTCGTGTTCGGCTCAATTGCTTAGCGAGCCGAACACGAGCCGTTCACGAACAAATAGTCGTTTTAACAACTCTAATCACGTAGTCATAAGATGTTAATGATTGGGGCATATTTAAAACAATATTTAAAACATCATTTGAATCTAATTTAATAATTTTTATTCTATTTTCTTCATTAATACTTTTAATTGATTATAAATCTTTGGAGTCTTGTAGAACTAATTTTTTTTAAAATACTACTCATCAAAGATAGATATATATATATATATATACATATAATTGATTAGCAGTCTTTCGAGCCAAAATGAGCCGAACACGAACGAACAAATATTTGTTTGTGTTGTTCGTGTTCGGCTCGTTAACCTTCTTTAACCCAACGAACGAGCCGAACACGAGCTGTTCGCGATCCATGAGCCGTTTTGACAGCCCTACTTGCAAAATAGTAATCTTTTAAGCATATTCAGTTTGCACAATTTTAGTTTTTTTTCTTTTTTTTTGAAGGGTGTAATTTATAATGATTCAGCATGCTATTATGTTGCATGATCTTACACAAATGATGATTGTCTTCAGAGAATTGATAAATGAAATTTTCTTCCATTTTATGATGACTTTTACAAGTTAGAGATCTGAAAAATAACTAAGAAACTCCTAGAAGACTTTATGAGGCAACAACATATTGGAAACAACAGCTGAGAAGTTCCTAGAGGGGGACAAAGTTGAGCAGCTCCTTAAGAACTTTATGAAGTAATAAAAAGCGCAGTTGAACCATGCAACACACAACAATAGCTATTCCATCCTTTAAACATGGAATGAATAATGGAGAAATGAAAAACAAAACAACCTTTCCATCCATCAAGAGAAAATTTACCCAAGCTTAAGAAAAAATACAAGGAAGATTTACATGCATACCACTCAATTCCTATGTATTTACATATCTAAAACCTAAACTTCAATTTTTACATACATACCAACTTACCTCTGCATTAAAAGGTGTATTTCCATTTTTAAAAGTTAAAATGGTGGTATTTTTTATGAGATGTGAAAGATTTGGGTTGTATAAATATAAAAAGAAAATTTTAGGTGTTCTATATGTAAATACATAGGAATTGGGTGGTATATATGTAAATGCCCCAAAACACAAATCACGATGATGGCATTGAAGGCATGGGTGAGATAAATACCTCTATGTATGAACCTAGATATTATAAACCGGTAAATAAACTAGCACAGTACAAGTCTATAGACAATGTAGTAAGTTCCTTGTGTTCTTTACTGGTCATAGATAAAACTAAAAGAAGATGACATATCCTTTGAACCAATTTAACAGAGCAAGCAATGCAGCTATTCCTGATAAAAAGAAAGGGGCATTTAGATATATAACACCCAATTCCTATGTATTTACATATCTAACACCTAAATATACATTTTATATTTGTACCAACAAAATCTTTCATATCACATAAGAAAATAACATCATTTTAACATTTAAAAAGTGAAATACACCTTCTCATTCATAGGTAATGTGGCATGCATGTACAAATTGAAGTACAGTTGTTAGATATGTAAATACATAAGAATTGAGTGGTGTGTATGTAAATCTTCCAAAAGGAAAACAGGAAAAAAGAACAAGGAAAACAGGAAAAAAGGAAAACAGGAAAAAAGAACAAGATGCTGGGAAGGGCGAAGAAAACCATCAAAACAATTTGCATTAAAACAAGAGCTTTTAAGGAAAATAAATTAAGTGTAAAAATTTAACATTCTGAACAGCAAAGAAGACTTACACTGCGCAATTTAACATCTACTTCTTGCACTTTCTTCTCTGCTTCTATGGTTTGGGCTTCCAAGTCATGTATTTTCCTGTTTTGCATGTCTATTTTACCTTCAAGCTCCTCAACCTGCCCAAGCAATCAAATTGAAACATCAGCTATCAAGGCTAGGCATTCCCAAGTCCTATGTATTTACATATCTAACAACTACAATTAAACCACTAATATTTCATATCACATCAAAAATACCATTATTTCAAAAATACCATTATTTTAACTAAATACCATTATTTTAACTTTTTGAAAGTGAAATAGACATTTTCATGCATAGGTAAGATGACATTTATGTAAAAATTAAAGTTTAGGTTTTAGATATGTAAATACATAGGAATTAAGTGGTATGTATGTAAATTTTCCTTATAACCAAAACAGTGGTCTCTTTTGCTTAACCTTCTTCTCAAGTTCATAGGAATACGCATTGACTCTTCCCACCAGTTCTACTCCATCCACAGCCCCCTTTTTCTGCTAAAGTTTATAGCACAAAATCTCATAACTAATTCAATAATAAAAGCAAAAGCTTTCCATGACAAAAAATGCATTCTTGCCTCACCTGCAATAATTCCACCGTCTTCTGCAGTGATACAACATTCGCTGCCATTTCATGAATCGCGCTCTCCAACTGTAAAATTTTTTCATCCTTGCTTTTCAAATCCCTCGCTTTCTCCGAACTCGTAGAATCTTAAACAAGAAAGAAACAACAAAATTACAGACTATATACACTCCAAAAAGCAACCTGAAACAATCTGACAAAATAGCTCGATCCCTCATTCCAATGTCCATCAAATGCACGTCAGACGCTTCGGACGAACGAACAGTAACAAAAGATGAAGGAAAGGAGAACAAGAATCTGACAAAACACTAAGCAGGGAAGAACAGAACAAACCTAAAGACGAGATCTTGAAGTCGAGTTGCTCGATCTCAAACTTAAGAACCGAATCGTAGTCCTCGGATCTCGTCATATCGACATTAATAACACCGGTTTCCTCACTCGCCCGGTTTCCAGTAATCACCAGTGCGAAAAAGACCGAAAACATCAAAACCTTTGGAGACGCCATTAAGAAGCAGGAGGAGCAAGGAAGTGAGAGGGTATCAATGGAGTAAGTACTTTCTACCCTCCTATGGCTGATGGCGGCGATCGCCGGATCGGTGAGGTTGATGGAACTGTGCAGCACAAAATTTTGAATATATATATATATATAATAGGCGTTAACAGTTTCTTTATTTACTTTAAAATTATTTTTCAAATTAAAAGTAAAAAAAAAAAAACATTTAAAATGTAAATTAAAAAAAAAAATTGGTGAAAGGACTTCAAGTTAATTTATAAGTTGAATATTTATTTTTTTCTATTTTTCTTATAATAAAAAGTAATTAAAAATAATCTCAAATAAAACCCAAATGATTTTTTAAATATTTTATTATTTTTCTATAATTCACATCTCACGCACTTATGAAGAAAAAAATATTATTTAATAAAGAAAAAAATTACATTTGGAATTTTGATTTTATATATTTCCTTATATATTTATTTCGCGCCTAAAAGTTTGGTTTGAATGACATTATCCTCAAAAAATGATAGTTTCTTATATTTGTTAACTATTATTTTTATTAAAGCTCATCAAACTATATTTGATAAATTTCATTTCTTTTTTCAAAACTAAATTGCTCGTATAAAAATTTATTGCTCGTTGATAGTTTCATAATTTCAATATGGATTGAGCTCAAATCTGGATGACTTGAGCTTGAACATAATTCTAAAAGTTCAAAACTTCTAAAATTGAATAGAATTAGATTCGGATATGATTCGAACATGACTATGAACTTCGATTCAAACGAAGCTTTAAGCCTTACTTATTCAAGTATTATAATTGAGAGCACGAAATGTTTCAAATGTGACAAAAGATTGACTCGAGGGCTCAATATGCAAATTGCAAGGTTCGAACCATACGATGTATAGCGTGCTGTGAGATTTGAATTGAGATTTGTAACGATTCAAATTCAAGCAAATTCAAATCTTTTTTTTAGAAAGCTTTGACTTCACAATATTGTTTATGATTAAGCTTTAATTAAACTTTTTAACAGGTTTCTTCACAAAATTTAAATGATACTATTTATGATCATAAATGATTCTAATAGTAAGATGTTCAAAGTCATTTATTTAACAATTAAGTTGCTATAAGGGTGCAAGCTTATTTGATTAGCTAATCAAACGATCATAAACAGAGTAAGGACATCAATTGAATTTAAAATTAGACTCAACAAAGCATTCAATCTCCTGTGTTGGCTCTAAACAACAATAAGCCAAGAAATCTCCAAATATAATCATAAGTATAATTTTCATTCAAAATAAGTCTGCAAAAATTTTATTGGAACCCACAGCATTATATTCTTTCACCCTTTAACTACCTTTGAAGCCTTTCTAGGACCAAAAAATAAAATTCAAAATAATTTAGCTCTAAACTTGTCTTATGGTTATAATAAGATAATAGATTGTATCAATCATGTTTTATCATATTAATCCTATAGTTTTAAAATTTTATAAACAATAAAATAAACTTAGGATTGTATTTATTCAATTTAATTCTACTTCAAAGATTGAATCAAAAAAGTGTCAATAGCACACTCCCTCTCCCTCCTCTTAATCCAAGTTGATCCAAGGCTTCCATCCATGAAGAACTAAGCCACAAGCTCCTCTCATCCTTCCAAAATTAATATATATTTCCTCTCTCTCTCTCTCTCTCTCTCTCTCTCTCTCTCTCTCTCTCTCTCTCTCTCTCTCTCTCTCTCTCTCTCTCTCTCTCTCTCTCTCTCTCTCTCTCTCTCTCTATCTCCCCCCTCCCTTCCTCCCTCTCTCTACATGAGAACTTGATATGGCCTTAAACATGAATAATAACTTACAAGCAAAAGCTCCTCAATAACTGCGCTGGCCACAAGATTATATATAACAAGCTATTAACTATTGTTTCAATATTTTATCTATGGCTTCCTATACTTGACAATTACTATGCAAGTGTTGTAAGGGTTTATTTGGGGATAATAAATATTGAGCTCATTTTACTTTGTCTCCTCTCTCTCCAAATTTTTATTTTATTTTTATTTTTTCTCATTTCACTGTTGGTCAGTCATAAAGAGAGACAACTGATCAATATCTTGTTAGCTAACATATGCTTTATTTCTCATCATAAGACCCACTTAAATTACTTTTTCCAGCACTCATAAGTTTATACTAACGATTAAAAACTAAACTTCATTAACCTCTAGGGCCACTTGCATTCATACCACACAATTCTTATATATTTACATATCTAACACCTACACTTTCTTATTTGCATGCATAACACTCAAATCTTTAATATTACATCAAAAATACCACCATTACTCTTTTAAAAGTAAAATGCACATTTTCACGCATAAATTTAAGACACTAAAAGTCTATAAATGTAAATACTAAACTTTACGTGTTAGAGATATGTAAATATATAAGAATTGTGTGATATGTATGAAAATTTTCCTAACTTCTATTGATATTTCAAAGATAAGCCCAAGCGCATCCTCGACAGTCACACACCCCTTCATATCCAATATCAAAGAAAAAGGGGTCGTCAAACTCATCCTCAACAATCATGAATCCAATATCTTCATGCTTAATGATTTCAAATTCTCATATCACTCTCTCATTTTGAAAAACAAAGAACTCTTCCTAAATCTCAAGCATCTGGTCATTTAACAAATGAAGCTTAAGAGAGTAGGAACGTTGCTCCGCTAACAAAATTTCAATTTAAAAAAAAAAATCATAAACAAAATGAGGTGATGTCAATAAAAACTAGGGGCATTTACATACATAACTCATAATTCTCATGTATTTAGATGTCTAACTCCTAAACATTCATATTTACACGCATACCACCTAAACACTTCACATCAAAAATACTACCATCACTACCTTATCAAACTTTGGATGTTTGATTTGCAAATACATAGGAATTATACGAAATATATGTAAATTAGTGTAAAAACTAATATCATCAATATGATCATTACTAACAACCAAACACAAAGGTGGATGTAAAAGCCCGGGGGCAAGACCTCGTTTAATTTTCCTAGGTTGCTCATCATTAACCATCTCACATATTTTCTCTTTAGAAGTAAGAATGCAAGTCATAAATTTAATGCAGACAATATTCAATCCCAGAACCTTAATCCATTTTCTTTAGAATTTTGAATATGAATCCATATCAGGATCTGAGCCTTTACAAGGAAACCTAACGGTTGTTTCTTAGAGCTTCCTTTTTTTTTTCTTTTTTGGAAATTTCTGCTTTTGACGACATTTTTGCTCTACTTTTTTTTATGGCTGAGATATGGTTTTCCTGCTTTACAGGCCCCTTAATGGTAGTGGGCTTTCTTTTTTAGTTCCTTTGGGGATAAGTATTCATACTAGCTTTCAGAGTCATGCCTACTACCATTGGTGCGGTTTCCTAAGTTCTTTTTGCTTTAATTTTATATACTTTTGCATGTTTATTAACGCTGTCTGCTTCACTCGCATTTGCTAGATTTCTTCAAATTCCATAAATCATAAATATAATATAAGAGTGATAAATACTGTGTAACATAAACCAAAAAATGAAAAAAGGAGGCATGTACATGCATACCATATGTTTACTTATTTAGCACCCGAACTTTCATATTTACATGCATAGCACTCAAATCCTTAACATGACATCAAACATACCATCATTATGAAATTTTAAAAATTGAAATTCGCCTTTTCATGCATAGTTTTATAACACCAGGGTGTTATAAGTGTAAATATAAAACTTTAGGTGTTAGATATGTAAATACAAAAGAATTGTGTATGTAAATTTCCCAAAAAAAATGTTATAAACAGTGAATGAATAAGACAAATAATACACACATGCCACATATCATTAATCCAATGAAACAAAATACTTTTTGGAGACAATGCATTTACTCTTTAACTTTTTTATCCCAACATTTTCACTATAATGTCCATAAATAATTTGTCACTTTCATATCAGTCTTAAATCTAAAGTCATTATCTCGGTACATATAGTGAACAATAAACAATCCCTTCCTACCAAAACACTGCTAACGAGCATATCTCACCTCAGTTTTTTGTGAACAAAATTACAGAACCTAAGCCACCTTTTCCAAATCAGTAGTGTTTCTTCTCTTTCATTACAGCAAATTCATATTTGTGTTAGCTCTCCAGATATGGGATGCACAGCTTCAAAACGTGACGATGAGGAAGCCATGAGGCTTTGCAGGGACAGAAAGAACTTTATAAAGCAGGCAATGGAGCAAAGAAACAGGTTTGCTTCTGATCATATTGCTTATGCTCAGTCATTAAGAAGAGTTTCAGCTGCTCTTAGTCAGTTTACAGATACTGATTGCGACCATGACTTTTTCTTCACCTCAAACTTAATTCCTATAAAATCACTAAAATCAGAACAGATAAAGCCTAAGAAGAGCCCTGCTAGCCTGGTTAATTTCTTGAGATTAGGTGGAAATCCTTTAGTTTCTGTTGAGGAAGAGCCTGAAGCAGAAGAAACTGGAAGGATAGAAAACTTCTATTCCATGGATCAGCATAGTGGGATCAACAATATGCAGTGGGACCAACTATGGAACCCTTTTCTCTCATTGGATTCTTATGGGTACCCCTCAAGCTTTGGGAGAATAATAGATGATGATGATGATGATGTAGATGGGCTTAGGCAGATTAGAGAAGAAGAAGGAATTCCTGAACTAGAAGATGTGGATGGTGAGGAAAATAAAGAAAATTTAAAGTTTTGGAAGGGTGAGAAAAAGAATGAGAAGCCAAAATCTGAATCTAAGCATGATGGAGTAGAAACTAGTGAGAAAGTGCCAGAATTAGAGAATAAGTCACCAGGTTCAGAAAGTACCGCAGAATCAGAAACTGGAGGTACAGTGAATCTCGAAACACCTAATCGAAGAAAATTGGGAGGAGCAAATGGTGTAGAAGAAACTCCAGGTTACACTGTATATGTGAACAGAAGGCCGGCGAGCATGGCAGAGGCCATGAAAGATATCGAGAACCAGTTCATGAGAATCTGTGATTCTGCCCGTGAGGTTTCGGTAATCCTAGAAGCAAGCAGAGTTCGAAATTCTACTGTTTCAAGTGAGCTAGCAGGTAAAGTTATTCATGATAAGCAATTCTTAACATTTGTTGATAATATTTATGTTTAAGTGTCAAAACAGTCCCCTAACTATTTAAAGGATTCATTTTAGTCCCTGAGTATATAAAAGTGCCAAATTAATCCCGAGACTCCTTAAATTGAGTCTGAAATAGACATGGTTGAGACAATTTCAGCCTATATTAAAAGAGTCTAGGACTAAAATGACCCCCTGTAAAGAGTCAGGGGACTATTTTGATATTTTTCTCATTTATATTTATAATGTTGTTCTGAAACTATAAGAATAAAACCATGGTTATCTAGCAACAGCAAGGATGATGAACCCAGTTACTTTTGTTCGTCCATCAACATCAAAAATCGGGCAATCCTCTTCTAGTTCAAAGGAGGACAACAATGGCCTCTACTGCATGATCCCAGTAAGCCATAAAGCCACTCTGGATAGACTATATGAATGGGAGAAAAAGTTGTATGAAGAAGTAAAGGTGATTCCTGTAATTATGAGGATTAGCTCAAGAATTAAGTTTTGTTTGATGATTTACTACTAAAATTCTTACTGACAGGCTGGAGAATGGGTGCGAGTCGAATATGAAAGGAAATGCGAGCAGCTGAGTCATCATGACATTTATGGAGAGGAACCGTCTGCCGTAGAACGAACAATAGTAGCCATAAGAGAACTTCACACCCACGTTAAAGTTCATATTCGTACAGTAGAATCAATTTCTAAAAGGATTGAAGCATTGAGGGATGCAGAATTGTGTCCTCAGCTTATGAAGCTAATCCAAGGGTATATATCTCTTAACTTTATGAGTATCAGTCAAATGTTGCATATAATTTTGGAAATTTACATACCTAGCACACAATTCTTATGTATTTACATTTCTGACACCTAAACTTTCATATTTAAATACATAACATTAGGTATTTCACTTTTAAAAAGTGATAATAGTACTATTTTTATGTGATATTAAGGATTTGAGTGCTATGCGTGTAAATATAAAGTTTAGGTGTGAGATATGTAATTGTGTGCTGTATATGTAAATGCCGCTATAATTTTTTTGGATTTTAGATTCATGGTCTCATGAATTAATTTGAAAATAACGACTTGGTAGCTTATGAATGGAGAGATAGACACCTGGAATAGAAAAGGAATAAATTATAATGCTGCAAATGAGTTTTTAATCGACTCTTCAAATAATAGATTTTTGAATAAGCTTAACCAATATACAATTGCATTGCTACATAAGGTAGGAACTACAACATAAGGAAAAGTAAATTTTACAATAATACCTTAGGACTTTAGGAAAATCTCATGCACATGAAGTTTTTGAAAAATTGCATGCACATGAAGTCTTTGAAAATTTGCATGAACATGAATTTTTTAAAACCTTAGAATAAGAAATTGCACGTGTAAATAAATGCAGGTCAAGTTGCCTACCCAAATCATAATTTAAAACAACTTTGAATAAGAAATAAAATTAGCTATTTCCAATTCTCTGGAATTAAGGTAATATTATTTATGATTGGCTATTTTAATTACAAATCACCCTTGTAAGGATCAAAGAAGGATTTGGGAGTAGACAAATCAGTTTAATATGTTGTTTTGGTGTATAAAACGCTATCAAATACGGAAATATAAATGACTTTCTAAATTGTATGCTTGCGCTTACTCACCAACCATTCATGCATTCACAATGTCTAGAAAGTGGTAAGTTTCAAGGCGTGAATGTTTCATTATAGATCATCCTATTAATCTCGATTTTTGCCAATATCTATTCATTTGGTGTCTATCAAGGAAATCCATGGTAGCTTATACATACTTTTAGGCTTTAGTTGGCTATGTTGTGATATTGTTGGGTGTTGTGCTTATTTATATAAAACAAAGCCACCATAAGTACTGCACAGCTGAATAAGCTACTTCGTAATTCATTATCTATAGTTATGGAATCATGAAGATGCGATTAACTATAGTGCTTTTTATCCCATATTTTTTACACCAACCAAAATTAATCTTTATTAATTTTTAAAAGTGATGGCCCTTGAGAATGTTTTCCAATTGTACAAAGCTAAAAACTAATTTTTTTAATATAAGACTTCCATTGATATTATTTAAATCAATACTTTCAAATTTCACTAAAAATTAATAATAAAGCCCACATCAACCAAGGCTAGAGTTAAGAACATTTATTAGAGCACGCACTATGGAGATGATTATAAAATTGATAGCCGCTAAAAGTTGAGGCTTAAGAAATCCTTGTTTATGGTAAGTTAAGATATGAGGTGCAGCACAGACAAGCGTTTAGAGACCAACCATAAAATAGATACATTAATAAGTTTTTATCTTTAAGCCAGAGAATGTTAAGATATGGGGATCATTTTTTGACCTAACCTCTAGGAGCATGTTACCTAAAACTATCTATCTAAGCCCCACAAGTTTATTGCATGTCACCATAAATATAATCTCTACAGGTGTATTACCTAAAACCAAATACCTGACCTATACAAATTTCTTATCTATTAGCTTTAAGCACTATATAAGGAGATGCTTGCATAGCTTACATGTATCCCTCAAATAAAAAAACATAGTGGATGATTGAAAGAGAAACCAAAGGTGTAAAAGGGCTCTTTTTTTAAGGAATATCATTTTCTTCCTTAAAAAGATGAAAGTGTAGTTAGTTTTGGTTCTATCAAAAAGAGAAGCTTAGACAATACTAGTTACAAGCTCTCTACAAAAGAGGAAAGAAGTGTAAAATTGCAAGAGCAATGACATCTATTTGCCCACATGCAACCTTCAAATTTATAGCAGGTGGTTATGTTCCCTTTTAATCATTGTTCCTAGAGAAAGCAATATTTATCATTATCTTCAGCTTTACATGAAGAAAAATCATTAATGTAACATTTCTTTTAATCTTAGTGAAATATTTGATTATTTTCTGATCATGGATATAGGTGGATTTCACTAAACCGCATAACTTAAGCCATATGTTTGCAACATTTGATATGTTAGTTCTCTCATCCTAATTTGATTTTTTTTTTTTCAGTGTTTCATTATTATTTTAACACACTCACATTTTTAAGAGTGTAGCGCATGAATATGAAATATCATTCACACGCATTAGCGGCAAGCCATGATGAGCTCTAGTGCTCCTATTTGGTGGGCTGGAGAGTCGCATTTGATGATTATTACCGAAACTAATTCCCCATGAACTATTTATATGAATCATGACAAAGATACTTCTTAAGTTTATTTGTTCAATGCTCATTATCTCTTGTTACATGCAGCATATTGTTTTAATTGTTTTTATTATGAAAAAAACATACTTCGATGACTCAGCAAACAACTTATGCTCAGTAAGTGTTTCCAACATAATCTTCAAATGTTGTATGCTCGTCAATAGATATGATAAAAAATAACTAAGAAATTATCTAATATATATATTAAATTCATAATGATAATTGGTGCATTAGTGAAACTGAAAGGCGTTACCAAAAACTCATACATATATCTTCCGTTGAATGTTATCTTTGCCACATCATTATCATTAGCATTGAACTAATGGTGACATGAGCTCGAATCAATCTTGGAGAGCATGGATGATCTTTCTCGTTGATAAAAAAAAAATCATCAACTCTTAACAGTATTACTGGTTCTTCATAGTTACTTATTTCAATTCCCTTTACTCTATGCATGCTCTCATGATTCTATCACTCTTCTGTACAAATAACAAACTTGATTTAATGAACTTCAACCAATCAGCCCTACAATTAAACTGTCAAATCTTATATTCTTTCGTCGACATTCTATATGGTTCTCTAGCAATTGTTAAGGTATCAAGTAGGATTGTCAAAACAGTTCATGTTCGACTCGTTCGCTAAGTTAACGAGCCAAACAGAACAAAAATTTGTTCTTCTGTGTTCGACTCCTTTTGGCTCGAAATACTACTCATCAATTTTATATATATATATATATATGTATATATATATATATATATGTAT